CTTTATTTTACACAATAAGCTCTTTTTTTCTATTTCACAGATAAGTGTCTCGGATAATGGATGGATGGATTTTTGTTACCCATTCATACTCACTGAGAGCAAGAAGAAGAAGCTGCTGGTTAAAGATGACCGAGTGGCCTCTGGGTCTAATGAGTACAAATGAAGACCCCCGGCAGGTGTGTGTGAGTGGGTGTACATAGATTACAGTTGTGATTGTGCACGTGTCACGTTGTTATAATGAGACTAATTGCATGTGAAATGTGTGCATACGCTGGGCCTTGGCGAGGTGAGGGGGGTCTTTGCCACCCACATGTGTGAGTCATATTAAACTTTCATTAGTGCCCAGACACGATGAACTCTCCTTTGTTCGGAAGAACCCTCAGCTCAAGAGTTACTGGACCTCTGACCACTAAGCTCTTGGCTCTGTATCTCTTCTCTACCTGTAATTGGCTGCCCGCTATTTCCAATCATTCCCGCAACCCTCGCAGTGCTGTTTCCATAGCAACGTAGCCTTAACCTTCTGCCAGTCGGCCTCACTGGCGTCATTCCCTCTTATACGTTCAATGCCCCCCCCTCCACCCTGAACCTGCCGCCCCAACACCCAGCCATCCCACCACGGTCCCCATTACTCCCAGCCTGGGAAATCAGCCTAATAAATAGCTTTATGGAAATCAAGCCGGTGAGCAACGGGTAAAAGTGCCACTCTTAATATATGTATTAGGATGTCTGGAAAATGTCATCAGAGTGCCTTCTTCAGTGGCCACCCAGATACTCTCACTTCACTTTTCGCTCACATGGCGCAGGGAAGTCTGCCTTTGTGCCTCTCACTAAATGTTGTCCTTCAGCTTTCTTTCAGTATCTGTCCTCTGTGATGATTCTTTGTTGCATAATGCAGAGATTATAGTCCTCTTCAAATCAGGGTTTTTCAAGTTCAGACCATGACTTTTTTCAGTCAATTATTAAATTACCTTGGTGTTGTTAATTCACAGTACTGCATTGTGTGAAGGTTTTCTCCTGGATATAAAACACAATTTCTTCTTTTCGTTGTGTACAGAATTTCTAGCCTCTGAAAAAAAAAAGTTAAAAATATCACAGCACAAAGAATGTTAACAATGAGAATGTTTAAAAATCTATTCTTCGCTCCTTCCTCGCTCATCTGACTCTTGCTGTCAATCAACGCTTCCATGATGTGTTGTGGAGTGAATTTGTTCACGCACGCACGCACGCACACACACACACACACACACACACACACACACACACGTACAGTGCCTTGAAAAATGATTCATAGCATGCCCTACAAAAAGTAGCACATAATTGTGAAGTGGGAAGAAGAAGGCAGAGTACATCATTTTCAACATTTCTGGCAAATCATAATCCAAAAAATGCGGTGTGTGTTTCCATTTGGCGTCCCTGCGTCAAGACTTTGTTGAGCCACCTTTCTCTGCAATTACAGATGGAGATCTTTTGGGTTACTCTCTCCCAGCTTTTCACATCTTGACACTAAAATTGTTGCCAATTCTTCCCACGCTTTTATGTGAGCAGTGATTTTCTTGCTGAAGACAGAATGTTATTTGGACGTATACTTTGGCTGGGTCATTTTAACACATGGATGTTCTTAGATTCTACATATTCTCTATATTCTGTTCTCAAAACCACACGTATAAAACATGAGGGCTGAGGGCCAGATCCAGCTCACGATGACATTTCATATGGCTTGCGATGGCAAATCATGTCTGTTGACTCCACGTTGATCTCGAATTGTTTCGTCACTTTTAACAACACTGAAATGTGAGATACTGCATTTTTTTTGTTACCAATCCAACCCCTTTTAAAAAAAATAGTTGAAACAATCCTAAAAAATAAACTTTTAATTTGTAAAGATTTTCCAAATCTGTCAATTCCAGCACGCACGCGATCCTTGTCAAGATACACGGATCAGATAATGGATGGGTGATTAAATATAAATATGAAAGTTGGACTCGTCAGACCACAGAACACCTTTCCACTTTGCATCTGTCTTCGGACCCGGAGAAGTGTTTTTGTGCAGCCATAAAAACACTAAGTTAACTTTCTACTCTTTGTTTGATCCGTTGTGTCTTGAAAGTAAATCTATAATATTGGTGCTTCGAATTTTTTATGAGCACGTCTCCGAACACGAGCACAAACACTGTTGAGAGGCATTCCCCCCCAAAAAATGTATGAGATCAAATGTCGCTGTGGCAATGACATAAATCCGATATACCGTAGCCTTTCTAATTTACAAGTAGTGTAGCCTCAAAGTTATCATCTTTCACATTTGGATTTGAAGGTGAAAATAATGCACGTGTCGTATGAATCCAATCATAATATTTAAATACAAACAGAAACAAACTACAACTTGAGACAGTATAAATGGATAATCTTTAAGAAACATATGGCACGGTATTTATACAAAATCTGCACATCTCTGCATGCTAAATCAAACATGAATTAATACTGCAAGGATTCGGTCGGATTTAGGCGACAGAAGGACATTAAGATATTGTGTCTCAGCACTATAGGCAGGTGTGAATTGTGCTGATTCTCCAGGGTTATCATTAACATTATTCTTTCCCAACAAGGGATTCAAAGGATTACCTCCATTATGATTTGGATTATGTGAAAGGGATTTTTGACTTCCATTTTATTTGTATGTCAGTTCACACAATCTAAATACCTGTGAATTCGTTATTGGTGGCACTGGGCAGGTGTGAGTGGCAGGGGGCCACGTGAGTAATGATGTCAAGAGGGTTAGAGGGGATTTGAAGATGGGTCAAGGGTTGCGACCTCTCTTGTGACCCCGGAGTCATCGGTGCACTTAACCCCACGTTTTGACTGACCCCACTGCCCCCATTGCACTCTTGTGCATTAACTCCAATCACAATGGCTTGCTTTTTTTTTAATAGAGTGAGAAAGGCAGTTTTTGAGACTGAACACTGATGGATGGTGACTTTAATTAGTTACTGTTGATGAATGCTTTGTTGCGTCAATTATAGACCACAGATAATCTTGACATCATCTTCCAATTATATAAGAAAATGTGGCGATGAGAATAAGTACCATACATTGATCGATGAGCACTTTTGCAAAATTCTTCTTACCAAAAACGTTTCAGACAAAATGTATATACCTATACAGTACTGAATATCTATTTATCTATCTATGGCTTCAAGAAAGATTTACACACTTAATGGTTGATTTAACACAATCCAGCTCAACATGTCAAACCAATGATAGAATCTCTTATTCTTTCATTCTGCCATCTCCTCTTCATATAGTTCTTTTCAAATATTTAAATTACTATATTTGTACCTAAATGACAGTAAAAGAAAAGTCATGAACCACCACTTTACAAACAAACCAATTCAATGTATACAGGTCAGTAGTTGAATTTAGAAAGTCTGTTTACAACGAATTGAATTTGAATTTTAGCTCAAGGACGCCAAAGCACCACAGCAGCATTAGCATGAATGATATATTAAGAAATAACATAAACAAGCCTCTTGCTTTTGCTCCATGTTTGACAATAATTCTTAGTTTCCTTCGTTTTTGCATTTTTAAATAGAGCTGATGGGATTTTCCGTCAAGATGGGTCAACAGACGTTCTCTGTGAGGACTTTGCAGACCACTCCAGAAGTCAAATCGATGACATAAGATCCTGTCTTTGAGCTCAACAAAATGTATGTTTTAATAAACCAAAACTACCACCTAGTGTACAGTCCCCCAGAAGCTTTGTGTCTTGCCAATATGCATTTTTATGTATTTATTTTTTATGTGTGTATGTATGTATGTATGTATGTATGTATGTATGTATGTATGTATGTATGTATGTATGTATGTATGTATGTATGTATGTATGTATGTATTTAGTTATTTATAAACAAATTCCAGTCTTGTCATCCGTCCATCCATTTTCTGATCTGCTTATCCTCACAAGGGCCGCGGGCGTGCTGGAGCCTATCCCAGCTGTCTTCGGGCAGTAGGCGGGGGACACCCTGAACACGGTGCCAGCCAATCGCAGGGCACACATAGATGAACAACCATTCGCGCTCTCACTATTTAGAGCACAGTGTTCCATTAACCTGTCATGCCTGTTTTGGAATGTCGGAGGAAACCGGAGTACCCAAAGAAAACCCACATTGGCACGGGGAAACCATGCAAACTCCACACAGGAAGGCCGGAGCCGGAATCGGAATCGAACCCTACACCTCTCCACTGTGAGGTGGACGTGCTAACCAGTCGACCAGCAGCTTTGCTAGATGTTCTGTTTCAAGACTATGATACAGCAAAATAAAGTCCCAAAACACATATAAAAACTTGAGAATAGCTAAGACAAAAAAATATATACCCATCTGTCTCTGCCACATCCTTGAGAATATATGGCATGTTAAGTCACATTAAACCAATATGCAGATATTTGTCTTCTGCATGGAATAACAAATGTCAATTGAAGACCACTCTGACAATGTCAAATTGAGCATCACTATTTTTGTCAAGGCATTTTTTTGTTGTTGTAATTGCATCTCATTGACTTGACATTGAAGCTTTTGACATTAGAGTGTATTCGACAGAAAAAAAAGTCTCTAAGGATACCTGGCCCAGCTGCCACACACATGGCTCTCCCTCAGGAAATGACGCCTCACTGCATGGATAACCATGATCCTTCAGCATGGACATGAAGCAAAGGCATAATGTTTACATTTACATTGATGGATTTGGCCAAACGACCATGAAAAACAACAATTTCGTTGCTCTCTCTCTCTCTCTCTCTCTCTATATATATATATATATATATACTGTATATGACTCATCTGAAGTGGCCTTCGGTGAAGCACGATTGATCGCCTGTGTCAAACATGCATTCGGGAGAAGGCAAAACCTGAGTTCAAACCTGAGACAGATGGATCAGTTTGCCCACGAGGAGTGAGAATCCAGTGGGCCAAAATACCTGTTGACAGGTGCAGAATTGTCATGATGAGGTCCAGAAATTATTTGATTTTAGTGATTACCTCAAAAGATTTTTCAACAATGTTTTAAATGGATCATCATATTTTGTCCAAGCCACTTTTCATGACTAAGTAAAAAAAAAACAAAAAACAATTGTACCGGAAAAACATTTCCATTAATTAAAATGTAATATTACATCTATTTCAAATTGTTTCTGTGATCATTGTGCGTTTCTTGACGAAAACAAATTTCCAGCAATTCTTTCTAGTTTATAAATTAAAAAAACAGTCTGGAATAGTGGAGGTGAAAAAGACATTCATATGAATCAATTTCAGCATCTTCTACACGCCAGGATAAACCTGCATTATCATAATCCAGTTTTACCAACCGTCCGGATATTGTTTTCAATGTCGGAGTAAAAATTAAAATTCATCGTCGCGCCACATCGTCTTATCTACGCTTTTCTTTTTGCAAGGCTCTCTATTCCTGCCCCCATATGGCACCTCATGAGTAAATTTAAGCGCTGTCTTATATCCTAATCACCATCCAATCTGGCTGCGCTCACCAGCCGACAAATCCTCACCGTGATGGAAGAAGTTGTCCACGCTTCTATTAGCATATGCAGAGTGGCGCTCTCCTGCCTACAAAGTAGAAAACCTTGCCCTTTTCTATCTTGCCTTCATCCCCGTCACGTCCGCAGGCTCGCCACAAATGCTGCCTCATTTCCATTTCTGCTCGCTTATGTACATAATTCTGCACGCATGTTATTTCGGTCAGCGAGACACATTTCCAACAGAACATTTAAAAACATGAGCTCAACGATCAATTTTGCTTCAATCAAGAACAGAAACATGTCACCCCTATTTGACTATATTTCTTTTATGACGAAAAAAAGCAATCAATCAGCTAGAGGCAATTTCAAAATATTTTGGCTGTATACTGTATTTTGTATATCAATCACCGTGGAACAATTGGGGCAAAATCATTCTGGTGTGTTACATTTTTAAGATGATTAAAACTCAAAATGCTGATTCCAAAATTACAGTCTGATTTAATTTTAATTTTTTTTTTTTTGGGAGCATGTCCATTTTTTTCCCCCCACAGTTTACCAAAAACTTCTACTGATTAGCTACAGCAAGACTCGCCGGCTTATTACGACTGGACTCATCTGTAGCTACATGCACGTGGCAACTTGTTTGAGGAGTTAAAATTGAGACAGTGTGGTGAGAGGTGTGTGCAGCTCCCAATATCTGTAAACAGTAAAGCTAGCACAGTAGATTTTTAAGACAACGTACTAGTGCTGGCTTTTCCCTTAACTTTATAACCATGATGGTGTTGTAAATTGCATTACATTTTATGTTTTTTCCTAGTTTTCAAAGTTTGGAAGTATTCCATCTTAGTGTTTTATTTACAAAGTAAACACTTATTTTAATATATTTTACAGGGATCCTATAGCTCGAAAAGTTGATGTGATGGAGCAAAACTGAGATCAGTTTTGGATTTTGTGCCCAAAAACTGCTGTCAGACCTAACTCAACAAAAATTGTGTAATGGTCAGTGTAGGACTAGACTAAAAAAACTCAAATTAACTCCCTGCCCCTAAAAAAAAAAAAAAAAAAAAAAGAAAAAGTTTTAAAAAAAAACTTTTTTTG